GCTCATCCTGTATCACGGCCAACGAAGGGTTAGAGAAATGTATACCGGAGACTGGACCGACCGACGTACTTTTTAACAAGCTCTCTACCTCAAAAAAGAATCTGTGGAGCCGGCATGGTGGCTCATGCCTGGAATCCCCGCACTTTAGGAGGTCTGGGAGGGCAGATCCCTTGACCTCAGGAGTTCGAGATCAGCCTGGCCAACGTGGAGAAACCCCGCCTCTGCATCAAACACAAACAGCAGCCAGGCGTGGTGGTGCCCACCGGGGAGCCCAGCTAATTGGGAGGCTGAGGCACCGGTACCAGGGTACTTCCTGCTCTTGATGGGGCCACTTACGCATACCACAGGTTCTACTCTCAGGAGCAGGATCCCCTTTCAGTTCCCCACAGGAGGTACCTCTCTGCTATCGCTGTGTTCCCCCCAGGGTCCCCAACACACAGCTTTGCCTGCTGGGCCTCGGCCGAAACCGGAACCACGTGCAAGTTCAGCAGCCTCAGACATTTGGACCAACAGACTCTAGATGCTACTCCTCTGCAGGATCTTGTACCGTACAGAGAGGACTCCTGTCAACATGGATTCAGCCTCTTGCTGAGAAAAACAGGTGGTTCCGCGCCTGCGTCAGGAATCCCATAGCTGGGATTGCGACCCCAGTCCCACACCCACCTTACTGCAGACGTGGAAAAGTTGCTAAACACTCTGGCCTCTGTCTTCCATCTTTAACCAAATGGTAAAACACCCATTTCTATTTTGTAGGAGTATGGGAAAGACGAGATTAACTTTGAGGAAGAGAGCGGTCAGTTTCTCGAGACGGGGCAGGACACGGTTCATCACTTTTGTGGAGGTGAACCTGTGGAACTCACCGTATGCCCTCAGCCCGTAGTTCAGGGAGTAGTCCACCTCACTCAGAAGACATCTATTTCGGCGGACTCCGACATCCGGTTTGTTATCTTCCCGCCGGGAGCAGGATTTCTCAATGGCTTCTGGAACGTTCACCCCTGGGATTCTTCCGGCAACAGCCCTGCCAGATGCCACCGTGATGACATTCGGGGCAGAACACGGAAAGCCAGGGACTGGAAAGGAGAAACCCAAACGCACGATGGGTTAGAAACTGGTGACGTCAAATTGGTTTAATCAGGACTGAGGGATGTCACTGGCAGCCTTGCCCATTGATTTCAAGATGTTATTTCCCCGAATTACTCTCCTCATCTGCACTCTCGATCACCTTAAAGTCAACTTGTTCTTAGCTACTCATTGCCCTTGAAGCCAGGACATCCACATTTCTACGGCGGTCCTGCTTATAAGTTCTGAAGGATCTTATATGGTACGGAGAAGGTTCCTGTAAACGTGATCTCGCCTCCTGCTAAAGGAAAGCGGGAGGTTCGGTGCCCGTGTTAGGAATCGACAGCTGGGGTGTTAACCCTAGTCTCGCACCTGTCTTACAGCAGACCTGGAAACGTTGCTACATCGTTTCCTCTCTGTGTTAGGTCCTTAACAAAATGTTAAAAATACCCGTTTTGCTACTTTCCTAGAAGTATGGGAAGGATGAAGTTCACTTTGACAAAGCGAGTGTATGGTTTCTCAGAGACAAGACGGGACACTGCTCGGCACTTCCGTGACGGTGAACCTACAGAACTTACCTTCCGTCGTCAGCTGACAGGCCAGGGAGTAGACCACTCGACTCACGAGCAGTTTCTTTTTGCTGTCTCCGTATCTCCGCTCCTCATCGTCATCTTCTCGAGCGTCTGTAAACAAATTCAGAAGAGCGGGTCACAGGAAGCAAATGGCACTTCGCACAAGACCAAATCGGTGTCCAGTCATGGCACGAGGACGTAAAATAGTCTCAATGGAAGAATGCGATACTATGATGGGAATGGTCTCACGGGGCCCTAGATTCGGTTGCCTCAGAAGCAGATGAGCCTGCTTTTCAGATCCATGGGACAAAAATCTGTCTCATCTTGCAGATCTCGATCCCATATCCTCTGACTTAAGTCAGGTGCAAACGATTAAAACTTTTACCCCAAAATCTTCACAACTTGCCCTGACTGCTTTCCAGAAGGGTTGCTGCAATACTCATCTAGCTCATCCTGTATCACGGCCAACGAAGGGTTAGAGAAATGTATACCGGAGACTGGACCGACCGACGTACTTTTAACAAGCTCTCTACCTCAAAAAAGAATCTGTGGAGCCGGCATGGTGGCTCATGCCTGGAATCCCCGCACTTTAGGAGGTCTGGGAGGGCAGATCCCTTGACCTCAGGAGTTCGAGATCAGCCTGGCCAACGTGGAGAAACCCCGCCTCTGCATCAAACACAAACAGCAGCCAGGCGTGGTGGTGCCCACCGGGGAGCCCAGCTAATTGGGAGGCTGAGGCACCGGTACCAGGGTACTTCCTGCTCTTGATGGGGCCACTTACGCATACCACAGGTTCTACTCAGGAGCAGGATCCCCTTTCAGTTCCCCACAGGAGGTACCTCTCTGCTATCGCTGTGTTCCCCCCAGGGTCCCCAACACACAGCTTTGCCTGCTGGGCCTCGGCCGAAACCGGAACCACGTGCAAGTTCAGCAGCCTCAGACATTTGGACCAACAGACTCTAGATGCTACTCCTCTGCAGGATCTTGTACCGTACAGAGAGGACTCCTGTCAACATGGATTCAGCCTCTTGCTGAGAAAAACAGGTGGTTCCGCGCCTGCGTCAGAATCCATAGCTGGGATTGCGACCCCAGTCCCACACCCACCTTACTGCAGACGTGGAAAAGTTGCTAAACACTCTGGCCTCTGTCTTCCATCTTTAACCAAATGGTAAAACACCCATTTCTATTTTGTAGGAGTATGGGAAAGACGAGATTAACTTTGAGGAAGAGAGCGGTCAGTTTCTCGAGACGGGGCAGGACACGGTTCATCACTTTTGTGGAGGTGAACCTGTGGAACTCACCGTATGCCCTCAGCCCGTAGTTCAGGGAGTAGTCCACCTCACTCAGAAGACATCTATTTCGGCGGACTCCGACATCCGGTTTGTTATCTTCCCGCCGGGAGCAGGATTTCTCAATGGCTTCTGGAACGTTCACCCCTGGGATTCTTCCGGCAACAGCCCTGCCAGATGCCACCGTGATGACATTCGGGGCAGAACACGGAAAGCCAGGGACTGGAAAGGAGAAACCCAAACGCACGATGGGTTAGAAACTGGTGACGTCAAATTGGTTTAATCAGGACTGAGGGATGTCACTGGCAGCCTTGCCCATTGATTTCAAGATGTTATTTCCCCGAATTACTCTCCTCATCTGCACTCTCGATCACCTTAAAGTCAACTTGTTCTTAGCTACTCATTGCCCTTGAAGCCAGGACATCCACATTTCTACGGCGGTCCTGCTTATAAGTTCTGAAGGATCTTATATGGTACGGAGAAGGTTCCTGTAAACGTGATCTCGCCTCCTGCTAAAGGAAAGCGGGAGGTTCGGTGCCCGTGTTAGGAATCGACAGCTGGGGTGTTAACCCTAGTCTCGCACCTGTCTTACAGCAGACCTGGAAACGTTGCTACATCGTTTCCTCTCTGTGTTAGGTCCTTAACAAAATGTTAAAAATACCCGTTTTGCTACTTTCCTAGAAGTATGGGAAGGATGAAGTTCACTTTGACAAAGCGAGTGTATGGTTTCTCAGAGACAAGACGGGACACTGCTCGGCACTTCCGTGACGGTGAACCTACAGAACTTACCTTCCGTCGTCAGCTGACAGGCCAGGGAGTAGACCACTCGACTCACGAGCAGTTTCTTTTTGCTGTCTCCGTATCTCCGCTCCTCATCGTCATCTTCTCGAGCGTCTGTAAACAAATTCAGAAGAGCGGGTCACAGGAAGCAAATGGCACTTCGCACAAGACCAAATCGGTGTCCAGTCATGGCACGAGGACGTAAAATAGTCTCAATGGAAGAATGCGATACTATGATGGGAATGGTCTCACGGGGCCCTAGATTCGGTTGCCTCAGAAGCAGATGAGCCTGCTTTTCAGATCCATGGGACAAAAATCTGTCTCATCTTGCAGATCTCGATCCCATATCCTCTGACTTAAGTCAGTGCAAACGATTAAAACTTTTACCCCAAAATCTTCACAACTTGCCCTGACTGCTTTCCAGAAGGGTTGCTGCAATACTCATCTAGCTCATCCTGTATCACGGCCAACGAAGGGTTAGAGAAATGTATACCGGAGACTGGACCGACCGACGTACTTTTAACAAGCTCTCTACCTTAAAAAAGAATCTGTGGAGCCGGCATGGTGGCTCATGCCTGGAATCCCAGCACTTTAGGAGGTCTGGGAGGGCAGATCCCTTGACCTCAGGAGTTCGAGATCAGCCTGGCCAACATGGAGAAACCCCGCCTCTACATCAAACACAAACAGCAGCCAGGCGTGGTGGTGCCCACCGGGGATCCCAGCTAATTGGGAGGCTGAGGCACCGGTACCAGGGTACTTCCTGCTCTTGATGGGGCCACTTACACATACCACAGGTTCTATCAGGAGCAGGATCCCCTTTCAGTTCCTCACAGGAGGTACTGTCTGCTATCGCTGTGTTTCCCCCAGGGTCCCCAACACACAGCTTTGCCTGCTGGGCCTCAGCCGAAACCGGAACCAAATGCAAGTTCGGCAGCCTCAGACATTTAAACCAATAGACTAGACGCTACTTCTCTGCAGGATCTTATACTTACAGAGAGGATTCCTGTAAACATGGATTCAGCCTCTTGCTGTGAAAAACAGGTGGTTCCGTGCCTGCGTCAGGAATCCCATAGCTGGGATTGCTACCCCAGTCCCACACCCACCTTACTGCAGACGTGGAAAAGTTGCTAAACACTCTGGCCTCTGTCTTCCATCTTTAACCAAATGGTAAAACACCCATTTCTATTTTCTAGGAGTATGGGAAAGACGAGATTAACTTTGAGGAAGAGAGCGGTCAGTTTCTCGAGACGGGGCAGGACACGGTTCATCACTTTTGTGGAGGTGAACCTATGGAACTCACCGTATGTCCTCAGCCGGTAGTTCAGGGAGTAGTCCACCTCACTCAGAAGACATCTATTTCGGCGGACTCCGACATCCGGTTTGTTATTTTCCCGCTGGGAGCAGGATTTCTCAATGGCTTCTGGAACGTTCACCCCTGGAATTTGTCCGGCAACAGCCCTGCCAGATGCCACCGTGATGACATTTGGGGCAGAACATGGAAAGCCAGGGACTGGAAAGGAGAAACCCAAACACATGATGGGTTAGAAACTGGTGACGTCAAATTGGTTTAATCAGGACTGAGGGATGTCACTGCAGGCCTTGCCCATTGATTTCAAGATGTTATTTCCCCGAATTACTCTCCTCATCTGCACTCTCGATCACCTTAAAGTCAACTTGTTCTTAGCTACTCATTGCCCTTGAAGCCAGGACATCCACATTTCTACGGCGGTCCTGCTTATAAGTTCTGAAGGATCTTATATGGTACGGAGAAGGTTCCTGTAAACGTGATCTCGCCTCCTGCTAAAGGAAAGCGGGAGGTTCGGTGCCCGTGTTAGGAATCGACAGCTGGGGTGTTAACCCTAGTCTCGCACCTGTCTTACAGCAGACCTGGAAACGTTGCTACATCGTTTCCTCTCTGTGTTAGGTCCTTAACAAAATGTTAAAAATACCCGTTTTGCTACTTTCCTAGAAGTATGGGAAGGATGAAGTTCACTTTGACAAAGCGAGTGTATGGTTTCTCAGAGACAAGACGGGACACTGCTCGGCACTTCCGTGACGGTGAACCTACAGAACTTACCTTCCGTCGTCAGCTGACAGGCCAGGGAGTAGACCACTCGACTCACGAGCAGTTTCTTTTTGCTGTCTCCGTATCTCCGCTCCTCATCGTCATCTTCTCGAGCGTCTGTAAACAAATTCAGAAGAGCGGGTCACAGGAAGCAAATGGCACTTCGCACAAGACCAAATCGGTGTCCAGTCATGGCACGAGGACGTAAAATAGTCTCAATGGAAGAATGCGATACTATGATGGGAATGGTCTCACGGGGCCCTAGATTCGGTTGCCTCAGAAGCAGATGAGCCTGCTTTTCAGATCCATGGGACAAAAATCTGTCTCATCTTGCAGATCTCGATCCCATATCCTCTGACTTAAGTCAGTGCAAACGATTAAAACTTGTACCCCAAAATCTTCACAACTTGCCCTGACTGCTTTCCAGAAGGGTTGCTGCAATACTCATCTAGCTCATCCTGTATCACGGCCAACGAAGGGTTAGAGAAATGTATACCGGAGACTGGACCGACCGACGTACTTTTAACAAGCTCTCTACCTCAAAAAGAATCTGTGGAGCCGGCATGGTGGCTCATGCCTGGAATCCCCGCACTTTAGGAGGTCTGGGAGGGCAGATCCCTTGACCTCAGGAGTTCGAGATCAGCCTGGCCAACGTGGAGAAACCCCGCCTCTGCATCAAACACAAACAGCAGCCAGGCGTGGTGGTGCCCACCGGGGAGCCCAGCTAATTGGGAGGCTGAGGCACCGGTACCAGGGTACTTCCTGCTCTTGATGGGGCCACTTACGCATACCACAGGTTCTACTCTCAGGAGCAGGATCCCCTTTCAGTTCCCCACAGGAGGTACCTCTCTGCTATCGCTGTGTTCCCCCCAGGGTCCCCAACACACAGCTTTGCCTGCTGGGCCTCGGCCGAAACCGGAACCAACGTGCAAGTTCAGCAGCCTCAGACATTTGGACCAACAGACTCTAGATGCTACTCCTCTGCAGGATCTTGTACCGTACAGAGAGGACTCCTGTCAACATGGATTCAGCCTCTTGCTGTGAAAAACAGGTGGTTCCGTGCCTGCGTCAGAAATCCATAGCTGGGATTGTAACCCCAGTCCCACACCCACCTTACTGCAGACGTGGAAAAGTTGCTAAACACTCTGGCCTCTGTCTTCCACCTTTAACCAAATGGTAAAACACCCATTTCTATTTTCTAGGAGTATGGGAAAGACGAGATTAACTTTGAGGAAGAGAGCGGTCAGTTTCTCGAGACGGGGCAGGACATCGTTCATCACTTTTGTGGAGGTGAACCTATGGAACTCACCGTATGTCCTCAGCCGGTAGTTCAGGGAGTAGTCCACCTCACTCAGAAGACATCTATTTCGGCGGACTCCGACATCCGGTTTATCTTCCCGCTGGGTGCAGGATTTCTCAATGGCTTCTGGAACGTTCACCCCTGGAATTTTTCCGGCAACAGCCCTGCCAGATGCCACCGTGATGACATTCGGGGCAGAACACGAAAAGCCAGGGACTGGAAAGGAGAAACCCAAACACATGATGGGTTAGAAACTGGTGACGTCCAATTGGTTTAATCAGGACTGAGGGATGTCACTGATGGCCTTGCCTATTCATTTGAAGATGTTATTTCCCCAAATTACTCTCCTCATCTGCACTCTCGATCACCTTAAAGTCAACTTGTCTTAGCTACTCATTGCCCTTGGAGCCAGGACATCCACATTTCTACCTTGATCCTGCTTATAAGTTCTGAAGGATCTTATATGGTACAGAGAAGATTCCTGTAAACATGATTTAGCCTCTTGCAGAGAAAAGCAGGTGGTGTGGTGCCCGTGTTAGGAATCGATAGCTGGGATGTTAACCCTAGTCTCGCACCCGTCTTACTGCAGACCTGGAAACGTTGCTACATCGTTTCGTCTCTGTGTTACATCTTTAACAAAATCTTAAAATACCCGCTGCTACTTTCCTAGAAGGACGGGAAGGATGAAGTTCACTTTGAAAAACAGAGTGTATGCTTTCTCAGAGACAAGACGGGACACTGCTCGGCACTTCCGTGACGGTGAACCTACAGAACTTACCTTCCGTCTTCAGCTGACAGGCCAGGGAGTAGACCACTCGACTCACAAGAAGTTTATTTTTGCTGTCTCCGTATCTCCGTTCTTCATCGTCATCTTCTCGAGCTCCTGTAATCAAATTCAGAAGAGCAGGTCACAGTAAGCAAATGGCACTTCGCACAAGACCAAATCAGTGTCCAGTCATAGCACGAGGACTTAAAATAGTCTCAATGGAAGAATGCGATATTATATGATGGGAATGTTCTAACGGGGCCCTAGATTCGGTTGCCTCAGGAGCAGATGAGCCTGCTTTTCAGATCCATGGAACAAAATCTGTCTCATCTTGTAGATCTCGATCCCATATCCTCTGACTTAAGTCAGTCCAAACGATTAAAACTTGTACCCCAAAATCTTCAAAACTTCCCCTGACTGCTTTCCAGAAGGGTTGCTGCAATACTCATCTAGCTCATCCTGTATCACGGCCAACCAAGGGTTAGAGAAATGTATACAGGAGACTGGAATGGGCGGAAGTATTTTTAACAAGCTCTACTTTAAAAAAGAATCTGTGGAGCCAGCATGGTGGATCATGCCTGGAATCCCCGCACTTTAGAAGGTCTGGTAGGGCAGATCCCTTGACCTCAGGAGTTCGAGATCAGCCTGGCCAACGTGGAGAAACCCTGCCTCTACATCAAACACAAACAGCAGCCAGGCACGATGGTGCCCACTGGGGATCGCAGCTAATTAAGAGGCTGAAGCACCGGTACCAGGGTATTTCCTGTCCTTGATGGATCCACTTACACACACCACCGTTCCATCAAGATCAGGATCCCCTTTCAGTTCCTCACAGGAGGTACTGTCTGCTATCGCTGTGTTCCTCCCAGGGTCCCCAACACACAGCTTTGCCTGCTGGGCCTCAGCCGAAACCGGAACCAAATGCAACTTCAGCAGCCTCAGACATTTGGACCAACAGAGTAGATGCTACTTCTCTGCAGGATCTTGTACCGTACAGAGAGGATTCCTGTCAACATGGATTTAGCCTCTTGCTGAGAAAAACAGGGGGTTCCGTGCCTGCGTCAGAAATCCATAGCTGGGATTGCAACCCCAGTCCCACACCCACCTTACTGCAGACACGGAAAGTTGCTAAACACTTTGGCCTCTGTCTTCCATCTTTAACCAAATGGTAAAACACCCATTTCTATTTTCTAGGAGTATGGGAAAGACGAGATTAACTTTAAGGAAGAGAGCGGTCAGTTTCTCGAGACGAGGCAGGACATCGTTCATCACTTTTGTGGAGGTGAACCTATGGAACTCACCGTATGTCCTCAGCCGGTAGTTCAGGGAGTAGTTCACCTCACTCAGAAGACATCCATTTTTCTTGACGCCAACATCCGGTTTGTTATCTTCCCGCTGGGAGCACGATTTCTCAATGGCTTCTGGAACGTTCAGCTCTGGGTCTTTTCTGGAAGGAAGTTTACCGGAATCCACCTGCTGATGTTTGGGTAAAAATACAGAAAGCCAGGGACTGGAAAGGAGAAACCAAACACATGGTGGATTAGAAACTGGTGACGTCCAAATTGGTTGAATCAGGACTGAGGGATGTCACTGACAGCATTGCCTATTCATTTGAAGATGTTATTTCCCTGAATTACTCTTCTCATCTGCACTCTCGATTCACCTTAGAGTCAACTTGTCTTAGCTACTCGTTTACCTTGAAGCCAGGACATAAACATTTCTACCTTGATCCTGTTTTTCAGTTCTAAAGGATCTTATATGGTATGGATAAGATTCCTGTAAACATGATTTAGCCTCCTGCAGAGAAAAGCAGGTGTTTTGGTTCCTGTGTTGGAAATCAGTATCTGGGATGTTCACCCAATCTCACACCTGTCTTATTGCAGATGTGGAAAGTTGCTAAATAATTTTGCCTGTGTGTTACGTCTTTAAGAAAATGTTAACATACCAATTGCTACCTTCCTAGAAGTCTGGGAGTGATAAAATTAAACTGAAGAAGAGAGTAGAGCAGTTGTCAGAGACAAGACAGAACACTGTCCAGGACTTCCGTAATGGTGAACCTACAGAACTCACCTTTCATCCTCAGCCGGCAGGCCAGGTAGTAGGCCACTTGACTCATAACAAGTTTATTTTTGCTGTCTCTGTATTTTTGTTCTTCATCGTGATCTTCTCGATCATCTGTAAACAAATTAAAAAGAGCAGGTCACATTAAGGAAATCGCACTTCACACAAGACCAAATCAGAGTCCTGTCATAGCACAAGGACGTAAAATATTCTCAGTGTAAGGATGTGATATTCTGACAGGAACGTTCTAACAGGCCCGTGGTTAGGTTGCCTCAGTAGTATATGAGCCTGCTTTTCAGATCCATGGGACAAAATTTCCCTCATCTGGTAGATCTTAATCATGTATCCTCTTACCTAAATCAGTGTAAATAATTAAACCTTTTTTCCCAAATCTTCAAAAATTGCCCTGCTTTCCAGAAGCATTGCTGGAATACCAAGTTATCTCATCATATATCATGGTCAATGAATGGTTAGAGAAATTTATATAGGAGACTGGACTGATGGATGAATCCTAACAACCTTTACTTAAAAAAGAATCCATGGAGGCAGCCCAGTGTCTCACACCTGGAACTCCAGCACTTTAGCAGGCCCAGGGAGGCAGATCACATGACTTCAGGAGTTGAAGACCAGCCTGGCCAACATGGTGAAACCCCGCCTCTACTAACAATACAAAAATTACCATTTGCGGTGGTGCCCACCAGGGATCCCAGCTAATTGTAAGGCTGAGGCACCAGTACCAGGGTACTCCCTGCTCTTGATGGTGCCACATACACATACCACAGATGTTATTGGAGCGAATTCCCCTTCTAGCTCTCCACAGGAGGTATTGCGTGCTATCACCACGTTTCCCCCAGTGTCCCCAGAACAGAGCTTTGCCTACTGGGCCTCAGAAAACCAGAAGCAAATGGAAGTGCACTAGCCTTAGACATTTTGACCAACAGACTAGATGCTACTTGTCGGCAGGATCTTATACTGTACAGAGAGGATTCCTGTAAACATGGATTTGGTCTCTTGCTGAGAAAAACAGGTTGTTCTGTGCCTGCGTGAGAAATTGATAGCTGGGATTGTGACCCCAGTTGTACACCCACCTTACTGCAGACCTGAAAACATTGCTAACTACCTTGGCTTCTGTCTTCCATCTTTAACAAAATGTTAAAATACCCATTGCTAATTTCTACAGGTATGGGAAGAATGAAATTAATTTTGATGAAGAGAACTGTTAGTTTCTCAAAACAACACAGGATATCATTGATCACTTTCGTGGTGGTCAACCTACAGAACCTACCGTCTGTCTTCATCCGGTAGTTCTGGAAGTAGGCCACCTGGCTCAGAAGAAGTCTGTTTTTGCTGGCTCCGACATTCGGTTTGTTTTCTTCCTGTTGTGAGCCGGATTTCTCAATGCCTTCTGGAACGTTCACCTCTCGGTTTATTCTAAAAGGAGGCCTGCCAGATGCCACCATGTTGACTTTTTGGGCACAACACAGAAAGCCGGGGACTGGGGAGAAGAAACCCAGACACATAATGGGTTACAAACTGGTGACAATAAGTTGGTTTAATCAGGACTGAGGGATCTCCCTGACAGCCTTGCCTACTGCACATGGTGTTTCCCTGCTTTTACTCTTCTTATCTCCACTCTTGATCTCCTTAGAGTCAACTTGTCTTAGCTACTCAGTCACCCTGAAACCAGGATATAAACGCTTCTGCCTTTATCTTGCTTATAAATTCTGAAGGATCCTATGTGTTAGAAAGAATTCCTGACAACGTGATTTAGTCTCTTGCTGAGAAAAACAGGTGGTTCTGTGCCTGTGTCAGGAATCGTTAGCTGCATTATTAACCCTAGTCCGACACCCACCTTACTGCAGATGTGGAAGCGTTGCTAAATGCCTTGGCCTCTGACTTCCCTCTTTACCATAATGTTAAAATACCCATTGCTATTTTCCTAGAAGTATGGGAAGGATTAAATTAACTTTGAAGACGAGAGTGTGTAATTTCTCAGAGATAAGACAGGACATTGTTCAGCACTTCCGTGATGGTGAACCTATAGAACTTACCTTCCGTCTTATGCCGGCAGCCCAGGTAGTAGGCCACTTGACTCAAAAAAAGTTTATTTTTGCGGTCTCTGTATTTCTGTTCTTCATAGTCATCTTTTTGATCTTCTATAAACAAATTCAGAAGAGCAGGTGACATTAAGCAAATTGCACTTCACACAAGACCAAATCAGTGTCCAGTCATAGCACAAGGACTTAAAATACTCTCAGTATAAGAATGTGTTATTCTGACAGTAATGTTCTAATGGGCCCTAGACTAAGTTGCCCTAGAAGTGGATGAGCCTGCTTTTCAAATCCATGGGACAAAATTTCCCTCATCTGATAGACCTTAATCACTTATCCTCTGACCTAAGCCAGTGCAAAAATTAAAATGTTTCACCCAAAATCTTCCAGAAATTGCCCTACTTTCCAGAAGCATTGCTGCAATACTGATTTATCTCATCATATATTATGGTCAATTAATGGATAGAGAAATTTATATAGGAGACTGAACAAACTGATGAATTCTAACAACCTTTCCTGAAAAAGGAATCTGTGGAACCACCATGGTGGCTCTTGCCTGAAATCCAAGCAATTTAGGAGGCACACCAGGGCAGATCCCTCAATCTCAGGAGTTCAAGACCAGCCTGGCCAACATCATGAAACCCCACCTCTACTAAAAATACAATAGTAAGCCAGGTGTGCTGCTGCCCACCAGAAATCCCAGCTGATTGGGAGGTTGAGGCACCAGTACCAGGGTACTCCCTGCTCTTGATGATACCACTTACACATACCACAGGTTCTATTAGCAGCAGCGTCCCCTTCAAACTCCTCACAGTGGGTACTGTCTGCTATCACTGTGTTTCCCCCAGTGTCCCCAGAACACACCTTTTCCTACTGGGCCTCAGCAGTCTCCGGAACCTAATGGAAGTTCAGTAGCCTCAGACATTTAGACCAACAGACTGGATGCTACTTGTCTGCAGAATCTTACACGGTACAGAGAGGATTCCTGTAAACAGGATTTAGCCTTTTGCTGAGAAAAACAGGTGGTTCTGTGCCTGGGTCAGAAATCAAGAGCTGGGTTGGTAACCCCAGTCCCTCACCCACCTTACTGCAGACGTGGAACAGTTGATAAATACTTTGGCCTCTGTCTTCCATCTTTAACTCAATGTTAAAATACCCATTGCTATTTTCTACAAGTATGGGAACCATGAAATTAATTTTGATGAAGAGAACGGTTAGATTCTAGAGAGAAGACAGGACGTCACTCAACAGTTTCATGGTGGTGAACCTATACAACTTACTGTCTGTCTTCAGCTGGTAGTTCTGGAAGTAGGCCACCTGGCTCAGAAGAAGTCTATTTTTGCTGTCTCTGAAACGCAGTTTGGTCTCTTCCTGCTGGGTGTAGGAATTCTCGACGATATCAGGAAAGTTCACCTCTGTGGTTTGCCTGGAACACGCCCTGCCAGGTGCCGCCATGGTGACATTTGGGGCACCCAGGCACAGCCAGGGACTAGGGAGAAGAAACCCAAACACAGAATGGGTTAATAAATGGAAATCAAATAGGTTTAATCAGGACTGAGGAATTTCAATAACTCAAATTCCTAACTTACTGTTCAGAAAAACGATCCCTCCTCACAGAATGTTAGGGTCCTTAACTGCCAAAACAATGTAGGAAACGCTTGAGCTCAGAGCTGAAGGTGCTGCCTCTAGCCCAGACTCTGACAAGAGTGTGGGAGACAGGGCCAGTGTCCCAGGTAACGGTCTGCTGTTGCAATAATAGAATTATAAGCTGGGCGTGTCATGGAATCTTCATTCCAACTGCCCAGGGTTTGCTAAAACACAGGCCCCCTGGTCTCACCTGAGCTCACAACCAATGGGGAACCGTTCCTCTATCAGTCACTCTCAGTATTTGTCTACCCTTGTGACGATGCCACAGTCCCATCTCATTCCCAATATATCTAAGCATGTGCCTCATTTTTTCATCTCTTCTGTGTATAAAATCAAGGCAGAAACAGTTTCCCAACATGTGATATTTTCTTAATGCTAGAAATGAAGTCAGTCATCCCTCCTTCTCATATGTTAAAACAGAATTGGAGGCTTTTCCACGAGTTTAACATATCATCCTATTACACTGCCATGAAATCCTCTGACTTTTCTGCAGTTTTTTCTGTATCCACTAGAGACTGAATGAGGAATTCATTTTTTTAATGAATTAAAATGCTTTCTTTCCTGGCTCACTATTCCTCTTGCTGCATCCCATGGTTATGCTGATTTATATTTTCTTACCATCAGATATCACTACACTGATATTTAAGGCAGAAGAGACTTTTCATTACACTTAAGACCAGTTCCATGGCCCTATATCCAAAGCTTCCTCTGTGTGGGATGATTGGTTTTCTAAGGTGACTGAACACTGCATCTCATTCTTGTCACTTATAAATGGCAATTTAGTCCCAGAAGAGCTCTTTTCAAGGTGTCAAGTCATCAAAATCATTTCTATAGAGATCTCCTGAAAGCGTATGTGACCATCTATCTTGGGAAGTCTGGTAAACCTGGTATGATTTTGTTGTTTTCATTTCATGTTGTCCACATATTGAAAACAACAGGGCCATGAGCGGTCCTTATGGAATACTGTTTGACACATATTTTTCTGAGTTGGTCTAATGCCATTGATGTGTGGTTGCATCCCACTAACCAAACACGGTAAGATCAAGGTGATGGTCAGGGGTGGTTGGTGGTCCTCCGTGTTGCTGTGAAGTAGAAGGGGAATTGGGGATGACAGGAACGAGTAGGAAGAGTGATCCCTGAGCCTCCTCCTCACTTTCTCAGCTTTCATCGCCACCCAGGTTTTGGGAGCCTGGGATTTGGGAGGCTGTTCTGTAGCCCAGGTCTCCTATGTTTGGCTGCTTCCTGGGCTTGCTGAGTCGAGGGTGCAATGGGTGTGACCCTGGGCTGCCCAGCATTCATGTGGAAGTGAAGCAAGGAGGACTGGATCGATCCCATTGCAAAGCGTGCCTCTCTACAGCCCCCATCATCCTCCAGCAACACTGTGAGCACACCGCTTAGAGATACATCAAAGGCTTTATGTATATACATGTTCTGGTGTCTGGGAGGCCTGACATTCTCTGGCAGAAGCAAAATCTGTCAGGTTTCTTCATTATAAAAATGATAAAACTGCAGGTTCACAAAGTTATGTGGCTTACTTCAGGTCACACAGGGATAAGTTTTGAGCAGTGCCAATAAAAGCAATCACAACAATTATTCCATATGATTCATAGGATCCATGTCATTCAGTAAATATTCATATAATTATTCACTAATTATTTGTTGACCAATCTCTACCAGGCATTTTGCTCAAAACTGTGCCCATATTTGGACAGTATATCTTCATCAGAATCCTCAAGGTAACGCTGTTATCCTAAGAATCAGGTAAGAAACCTGAACAAGAGGGCTAGCAAATCATGAATTTGGCCATATTTCCATTTTCTGGTTTCTGTGATGCTGGACAAATGACCAGAATGAGTCACCGGAAGAGTATTCATCCCTGTGTCATTTTCCAGGACACAGATGTGTCCTCCAAGTATATTGGGACCAAAATTCACAAGTGTCTGCAACCTTGCTTTAACAGCATGGAAAATAACCTCTATTTTTCATGGAATTAGACCTGGAAGTTCCCTGGACCTTTAGAATATACAAGAGAAGGTCTGTATATCTTTGTCCCCATCAGTGCCACTCAGTTCTCCCAGTATGACCTGGCCATGCCCCTGCACTTACCCTCGTCCTGCTCAACCATCTCCATGCACCGTCCAATTCCATCAGTGATTCAGGCTCCTCCCAAGGCTCCGTGAAATAGGTACAGGTCTCAGGACATCACACACATTCCAGGCACAAAAGCAGCCCATATTGTAAAGCGGGCAGCTGTGTTCCCGCTTCCCTGAAGTTGGCAGTGATGTCCTAGGACAGGAAGAAACACTTTCTCTTGTTAGGAGGTCTCTTCTTCATGTCCTGGGGCCTCTGATCTAGTGAACACAACTGTCCTGAATGTGAATGAACTTGCTAAATTCCTGGTTTCTTGCTAGGTGGCTAGAATAGAGTTTTAAGACTTCCTTAGATCCCCATGTTTGCCGAAGTCTGAATACTTACCAGTATGACTCCTTTTCTTGTAAGGGGTAGCTTAGGGAAGACTGGCCCCATTGCCATGCAAAGAGAGGTAAAGTGAATTTCTACTCAAAGCAACCTTGAATTTGGAACTAGGTTTTCCACTGTTTCAAAGCTGGCCTGTAGGTCCAACTGTCACATATTTGGACATATATCTTCATCGGAATCCTCAGGCTTGTGTCCTCAAAGGCTTGTGTGTCTGCTGTACTCAGCATAAAGTTATTTCTCATTATGGTAAGTTATAATTAACTTGCCACAATATAATTCATTACCAAGATGGTTATTTATCACTATGGCAAGGACAAATTTAGAAGAGTTATTAAATTTACTTCTTTATCTCCCCAGCTGGAAACAGTCCATAGCTACTGATATCATCAGTGTCCTCTGAATACCTTGGCTGTGTTAACTGCTTTGACTCAACATGGAGCTGAGGTGTTGGTGTACTGTATGTCAAGATGCTGAAATATGGCTGAAGTCCCGGGTCACTGGCCCAGGACATCCACTGAGTTCATCTCATGAGACCTGGGCCACGGCTTCCACCATCACTACACGTCTCATGAATCACCAGTCACTAGACTGAGAACTCTGTGAAACCTGGGATCCTATTTTACTCACCTCTGTGGTCATGATCCTTAGCTAAGGGCCCAGCACAGAGGGGCCTCTCAGCAGTGTTCATCCATGACTGAATAAAATAAATTACAAACCTCCAACCCTTTCACCTACATTTCTGTCCCCAATGTCTTGTAAGGGATGCTCTTTCTCTCAGAATGCTGCAAATCCCCTTCCCTAGAGAGGTGCCTGCCCTACACCATCCCTGCCGCAGGATCCTCTCCTGTGGGAGCTTCAAGGAAGACTAGTCTGTCCTGAAAATGTTCTCTTATGCCTCCCCCTGTCATTAGGAGTAATGTCCTTTGACATACACTCCCGTCCTCCGGGCTGCCACAACACCTCAGTTGGGTAGCACTACTGTGTCTTGTTGAAATTATCTGTTTGTGTTCTTCCACTCACTGGCTTGAGTTTCTTTAGAGAGACATTAAATACCTGAATCCCAAGTGCTTAGCACAGTACAAAGAAAATTAAATACTCAATAAATATTTATGAGAAACTTCCCTCAACTGAACGTGCAGAGGAATATTATTAGTATCACTGCTTCATATACAAGCAAGGGACACTTACACTGGCACCTGACCTAGGGCAGAGCTGTTTGATAGTAAGAATGGACAGTCTCCAACCCTTCTCCATGCATGGTTATTCCCTCTAACCCACACTGACCTGAAGAGCATCCACTGCTACAGCAGCACTGACGCTGAGGCTCCTGGGTCTGGGGAGTGTTCATCCATGACTGAATAAAACTGATTACAAACCTCTGACCCTTTCTTGGAGTTGAAGCTGCCCCTCATTATAAACCAGCTCTGATCTAACCTGTGGCTCTCCCTGGCCAGAGGCAGGAGATTCCTGTCGAGTAAGTTTCTCTCAGTCCCCACTGCTGAGGGTTTAAATGATCATAGGCATTGCCCATTTCCCCTGAGGCTTCTGTCCTGCTCTGTCCTTATTCTCCCCTTCTTTGGTTTTCACTTACCAATGGCTTCACCTTTGTGGATTATTCTCATCCCCTAAAACTGCTGACTTTCTTTCTTCCACCTGTTCCCCCAGCTCTGGGATTCCAGTGTGTACTCAGCTAAGGCTCCTGCAGGAGACACACAGTCAGGTCTCAGCTGAAGCTCCCAGGCAGTATTGAAAAGCATCTCAATTCCTCAGAAGCTCAGAGAAAACAGAGCAGGAAGGGACCTCAGAGAGGCACAATAAGCCTCTACTTTACTGATGAGGAAACACTGAAGCCCAGAAACACTCTCTCCCAGGATCCCTCCCTCACCACTTGGTGGCAGCAGATCCACCACACAAGTCTTGGTCTCAGCCTCCCTGTGCAGAGCAGGTAACTCACCCTCTAGAAGCTCGCTGCTGCCATTAGGAAAACTTTAGATGAAAAATAGTAATTTCCACTGTGAAAACAAAAACGGGAAAAGCCCCTTTCCTTGGACAAACGCTTTATCACAGTTTTATAGTCCTGGCCTTTATACTTGGTCAGTTGTCATTCACTGGCTGCTAGATTGGGGCAGTGAGCACATAGGATTAAATAGTGTTTCACACAACCCTGCTTTCCCGGCCTGGGCTCTCAGCTCCTCCATTCTTCTTCAGAAACTTTCTGCTGCTGTATCTGCTGGAGAGTCCAGGCCCTCCTGTGGGTCATTTCTCCATGAAGATCCCTGTTATTTTCTTCCTCTCTTAAAGATAGAAAGGGCAGAGATTGGTTCTGGGACTCCATAGTCTTAGGTTTTCTCCTAAGCCAGCCAGGGCAGCTGAAAGCAATCATGACTGAGAGCGGTCAGGTGAGTGAAGAGGAGCACGGGCTCACAAGGACATCCTCTCGTGGAGATGGTCAGGACCGTGACACATGAAATGTCTGACCAATTCTGCGGGGGATGATGCAACAAGAATTAAGTGGAGGATGCTGCCACGAGGAGAAAAAGGAAGAACCAAAAGAGCAGGGGGAGAAGGAAAATAAAATGTTTTCCATAATGATAGAAAAAAAATGCAGAGCCCGGAGGCAAAACCCCCTGTCACAGAGGGTTAGTTCCAGGCTGTGGAGCCTAATGAAGAATTTCTGGCTGGACTTTGCTCAGCCCCAGGTCAAAATGGTTTTGGATCAGTGACTTTGCTCCCTCCACTTTCCCTCTTTTTGAACAAGAATCACTAGCAGTGTTATCCTGTGACTGTCCCACCATTGCACATTGAGGACAGATAAGCTGTTTGTTCAGTTTCATGGGTCAATAGGGTAAGGGAATTATATCAAGGATCTGTACTTGGGCTGGGCTGGTGGCTCATGCATGAAATCCTAGCACCTTGGGAGGCTGAGGGGGACAGCCCCTGAGGTCAGGAGTTTCAGACTAGCCTGGCCAACAGGGAAAAACCCCGTCTCTACTAAAAATAAAAAAAATTAGCTGAATGCAGTGGTGTATGTCTGTATTTCCAGCTACTCAAGAGGCTGAGTCAGGAGAATCGCTTGAACCCAGGAGGCAGAAGTCACAATAAGCCAAGATTGCACCACTGCACTCCAGCATAGGTGACAGACCAGGACTCACTCTCAAATAAAAAGAATCTATACTTAATGGACACCCTCAGAAGCCTCATTCACACTTGGTGTAGATGATTTAAATAAGATTTTAAACTTTTGATCAGACTAAAGCTACATGACATTGTTCACTTTCCCCTAATGCATTAATGACATGAAACTTGGAAACCTCAGGTGAGAGGGTGAATGTATTTGGCATCTGTGAGGAACGTGAATGTCTGGGGACCTGAAGTTGAACTGTGATAGGTGACATTTCTGAAATGGTCTCCAAACATGTTGTACCCTTATCTCTGGAACCTGTTAAGCTGATGAGACATTCCTGTAATTATGTTGTTACATGGCAGTCACATGACCTTAAAGAGTCATATGGTTTGACTCTGCGTCCCCACCCAAATCCCATGTTGAATTATAATCCTGAGTGTTACAGTGGGGCCTGACAGGAGGTTACTGGATCATGGGGATGGTTTCTAATGGCATAGCACCATCCCCCAAGAGCTGTCACATAATAGAGTTTCCATGAGATCTGGCTCTTTAAAACTATGTAGGACTTCCCCTCCCTCTCCCTCTCCTCTCCTTCCCTCTCCCTCTCCCTCTCCCTCTCCCTCTCCCTCTCCCTCTCCCTCTCTCTCTCCCTCTCTATCTCTCTCTCTCTCTCTCTCCTGCCAGCCCACAGAACCATGACTTATTTAAATCTCTTTATAAATCTCAGCCTCAGGTCATTATAGCATTACAAGAACAGACTAATATAAAAGCTGAGCTTTCCTGAGTGGGCCGGATCTAATCACACCCCTCCCTAAGAGTCACAGATTTCTCTAGTGGGTAGAAGACAAAGTCAGAGAGAGGATGGGAGCTGGAGAAGAATTCCATGAGCTGTTGTTGGTTGGAAGATGGGGAAAGCGAGAAAGAATGCAGGTGGCCTCTGGAGTCAGGGTGTCTTCAGGCTGAGAGCCAGGAGGAGGAGGACTGCAAAAGGATGTCAGTCCTCCACCCACAAGAGGATTCTGCCAATACATCTGTAGTGAACTTAGAAGAGTAGCCTGAGCTCTAGATGAAAAACACAGGCAGCACATAACTGGATTTCAGTTTCCTAAGACCCCGATCAAAGAACCCAGTCATTCCTGATTTCTGTGGTTTCAAACAACTAACTTGTTATGTGTTAATAGGTAGCAACAGAAAACTAGTTACAGGTGCCTAACTGTACTCTTTTTATATTTTCACATACATGTATGCTAATCCCTAAAGGCACAAAAAAGAAAAAAAAGCAGAGAACTACAGTAAAATGTGATGCTTACCTTTACAGGAGCACTGCAAGGGCTGTTCCTGAGCCCTTGCAACTTGAAGATAACGTAGGCCATTTCAGGCAGGTGAGAAGCGTCTCTTCAATGTTACCAACCCAATTTCTGAAAGAAAAAAGATGGTAAAATACTTAACTCCCAGCCAGGTGTGGTGGCTCATGCATGTAATCCCAGCACTTTAGGATGCTAAGGTGGGTGGATCACCTGAGATTGGGAGCTCAAGACCAGCCTGACCAACACGGAAAAACTCTATCTCTACTAAAAGTACAAAATTAGCTGGGCATGGTGGTGCATGCCTGTAATCCCAGCAACTTGAAAGGCTGAGGCACAAGAATTACTTGAACTCTAGAGGTAGATGTTGCAGTGAGCTGAGATTGCACATAGCACTCCAGCATGGTGGCTCATGCCTATAATCCCAACACTTTGGGAGGCCAAGGCAGGCAGATCACCTGAGGTTGTGAGTTCAAAACCAGCCTGACAAACATGGAGAAACCCCATCTCTACTAAAAATACAAAATTAGCTTGGTGTGGTGGTGCATGCCTGTAATCCCAGCTACTCAGGAGGCTGAGGCAGGAGAACTGCTTGAACCCAGGAGGCAGAGGTTGCAGTGAGCCGAGTTCATGCCATTGCACTCCAGCCTGAGCAACAAGAGCAAAACTCCACCTCAAAAAAAAAAAAAAAACTTAACTCAGCATAATATTATCTGCAAATTCATCATCTACATTTCTAATAGAAGATTTTCTTTTAGGTCTTTCACTCATGCTCACCAGACAAGGTTTGATAGCAACTGTCTGACACCAGCAAAGATGAAGCAATTCAAGGAGAGCAATGAACAGGATACCACTAAGTTTCCCTGAATAAAGTCCTTAGAATAAAAAAAATCCTCTAGTTGCCACAAGAGTAAGACGATGGTCCATTATATGAAATTCCAATCTAATAAAACCTTAAATGTAATGTTGTCTGTTTTCCAAATTTTTATTTTGCTCAGGCTCCGTCATGGTGACCAGGGATTGAAAATGACTGCAAAGAGGCTCTGGGGAATCTGGGGAGGGAAGAAATGTATTCTTAAAGGGGACTGAGGTGTGGGCTGCAAAATTCTACATGTCTACTTAAATTACTCAATTCTACATTTGCAACTAGTGACTTTTATTACTACAAGTAACTTGTTAAATGAAATCCCTGGTTTCTACTCCAACTTGTAAGGAGCTAGGAGGTCACCACTTGTCCTCACAAGAAAAAAGCTGAACAAACTGAAAATTTTCAACCCTTATTAGAGGGACTAGAGGAGAGGTCACAGGGCAAATTGCCATGCTGAAAACCAGACAGACAGGCAAATATAGGGAACAGAAGCTGCTGAAGCCAGCAACTGGGAGGAGCTCTTCAATGGTACTCACAGATTACTAGAAGCTGACGGTGGCCTGGCTTGAGCATTCAAAACTCCCTGGGGACCAGATTTAGTGGGGATCTCACACTTTTCTAAGTGTTACCACCAGGAGCCCAACCAGGTTCTCATAGTAAAGATCTGAAAAATCCCCAGAGAACTGACACTGCCGACTTCAGTACTAATTATAAAGCTACAGTAACCAAACTGTGGAAATGGTGAAGAAAGAAAACACAGACAAATAGGTCACTAGGAAACAATACAGAGCTCAGGAATAGACCTACACAAACACTCAACTGATCTTTGAGAAAGGCACAAAGGCAATTTAACAGGAAAAGGATTCTTTTCAACAAAAGATGCTAGAATGACTAGACATCATCATGTGAAAAATAAATAAATCTAGGCACAGATTTTACACCTTCCACAAAACAGATCTTACACCTGAATGTGAGGTGCAAAACTCTAAGACTCCTGGATGACCACATAGGGGTAAATCTGGGTGACTTTGGGTTTGGTGATGACTTCTCAGATATGATGCCAAAAGCAAAATCCAGGAAAGAAAAAACTGAAAACTTGAATTTCATAAAAATTAAAAACTTCTGCTCTGTGAAAGACATTGTTAAGAAAATGAATAAGCAAGTGACAGACTGGGAAGAAAATTGGCAAAATACAGATCTGATGAAAGACTGGTGTCTAAAATATATAAAGGACTCTTAAAACTCAATAATAAAAAAGCAAAAAACCCAATTTAGAAATGGGCAAAAGATCTGGATACTTCACCAGAAAGGACACATGAATGGAAAATAAGCATATGAAAAAGCTGCTCGAAATCATCTGTCACCAGGAAATTGCATATTAAACCAATGAGATGCCACTACACTATAATATACACCTAATAAGATGGCTCAAATCCAAACAAGTGACAATACCACAGGCTGTCAAAGATGCAGAGCACCGGGGACTCTCAGTCACTGCTAGTGGAAATGCAAAATGCTAGTCACTTTGGAAAACAGTTTGGCAGGTTCTTTTTTCTTAAAAGAAAAAAAAGCTAAACACAGCCTTGCCATGGAATCCTGAAAACAGCAGTTTTAGATACTTACCAAAGTAATGCGAAAACACTTTCACTCAAAAGCTTGCATCCAAGTATTTACAACAGTTTTACTAATACTTGTCAAACAATGGAAGTAACCAAAACATCCTTCACTAAGTAAATGGCTAAACGAACTGTGGTATATCTGTACAATAGAATATGATTCAGTGATAAATGCAATGAGCTATCAGGCCAAGAGAAGACATGGAGGAACTTTAAATACACAATGCTAGGAAGAAACTAGTCTAAAGACTCTACACACTGTGATTCCAACACTAGGACATTCCAGGAAAGTCAAAATGGTAGAGACAGTGAAATGATCAGTGACTGCCAAGCGTGGAGGAGGGTGAATTGGCTGAACACAAGGAGGTTCTCAGCAGTAAAACTCTTCTGTGTGACACTGTACTGGGGATTCTGGACATGGTAATTGTCAAGCCCCATAGAACTGTAAAACTCAAAGAATGAACCCTAATGTAAACTATGGAGTTTAGTTAATTATAATGTATCAATATTGATTAATCAGTTGTAAACATGTATCACACTAACGCACGATACTAATGATGGAGGAAATTGTGTGCTAGGGGACCAGAGAGAATAGGGAAATTCCCTGTACTATCGGCTCAATTTATCTGTAAACCTAGAATTATTCTAAAAAAAAAAAAGTCCATTAAATTTTATTAAAGTTAGGATGCAAACACCCCAAATCAATATTGTGGCGGCATCCTGTTACTGTGTGGGTAATACTGGGCATTGAGGTGAACCAAGCTGGAGTCAGAACAGTTGGAGACATCAACGCCTGTGCCTTCAACCACTGGCTCTGTGGGTGTCCCTGGAATCCAGAGAGCTGATCAGTTAGCCTGACACAGATGCAGTGCTTCAGATAGTGCAGGCTTCTGGTAAGGACAGGGAGAAATCACCTTCGGGCAGTGATATGGCTGATATATATGTTATTTTGGACGTGGGTGAATCTTGAAGTCTAAAAAGTATTTAACTTAGAAGACAGATATCTCTGCTCATTATATTAAGAATAAACTTAGAATCATTGTTAAACTTACATCTTTATTTCCCTAGCTGGCCAGGACCTCATCAGTAGCTACTGATGTCACTAGTGTCCTCTGATCACCTTGGCAGTGTTAACTGTTTTGACCCAACAGGAAACTGATATGTTGCTTGTACCTAAGTTGCTGACACCTGGCAGAAGTCCAGGGTCACTGGCCCAGAGCAAGTCATCCAGCTGTTGGTAACAACCAGGAGGGGGACCAGGCCATCCACTGAGGTCATCTCCATGCAGCCATGAGGTCTTCATGAGCCACTTGCTCTAATGAAGCCACCGTCACTACACTTCTCATATCTCACTAGTCACTAGACTGAGAGTTCTGTGAAAGCTGAGATCATATTCTACTCATCTGTGTTCATGATTCCCAGCTTAGGGTCTGGCACTAAGGAAGTTCTCAGCAGTGCTCACTGAAGATAGAGTAAAACTGACTACAGACATCCAATCCCATCACTGACATTCCTCTCCAAAATGTCCTACCAGGGATGCTATAATTTCTCCCAAGATACAGCAAGTGCCCCTCCTACACCTGTAGACCCCTGCTCTACACCAGTCATGCCCCAGGATCTTCTTCTGTGGGACACTGGAGGAAAAACGGGACTGCTCTGAAGAATCCCTCTTATGGTTCCCCTTGTCCTTAGGAGCAATGTCTTCACCTACACTCCCATCCTCTGGGCTGCCATCACACCCCACTTTTGGAGAACTACTCTATTTTCTTGAAATCATGTCTTTGTGTTCTTTCTCTCATGGGCTTCAGTTCCTTGGGAAACTACTATCTGAACCCCAAGTGCTTAACGCAGTATAGAGAAAATTGAACACCTAGTAAATACTCACATCACATAGAGACCCTCCTCAACTGAAAGTGCAGAGGAACAGTGTAAGTAGCACTGCCTCATATACTGGCAAGAATCACTTACTCTGGCACCTGACCTACGGCAGAATGGTTTAATGTAAGAACGGACATATCTAACCCTTCCCCAAGCGTGGTTATTCCCACTAATCCACACTGACCTGAAGAGCATCCACTGCTACGGCAGCCCCGAGGTCGAGGCTCAGGGTCTTGGGCAGAGGCTCATGGTCACATCCTTCCCCTCTTGGAGTTGGTGCTGTCCCTCACTATAAACCAGCTCTGATCCCCACTTTGGCTCTCCCTGGCCAGGGTCAGGAGACTCCTGTGAGGTAAGTTTCTCTCATCCCCACTGCTCAGCTTGCGCTCCTCCTTGAGTGGTTGAATGTTCACAGGCCCAGTGCCCATTTCCCCTGAGGCTTCTGGCCCAGTTTGTCCTTACTCTCCCCTTCTTTGGTTTTCACCTGTTCTAGCGCTGACTTGTCCTTTGCAGGTTCTTCTCTTTCCCAAAACCTGCTGCCTTTCTTTCTTCCATCTGTTCCCTCGGTTCTGGGCTTCCAGGGTGTGGACTCAGCTCAGGCTCTGCAGGAGACACACAGCGTCAGTCAGGAGTCAGACCCAGAGAGCTCAGTGCAGGTTACAGGTCCAGGCAGTGTTAAAAACCATCTTAGTCCCTCAATGACTCAGAGAAAAGTGAGCAGGAAGGGACCTCAGAGAGGTACAATAAGCCCCTACTTTACTGATGAGAAAACTGAAGCCCAGAAAGACTAAGACTCTCCCAGGCTCCCGCCCTGACGACCTGGTGGCAGCAGATCCACCACGCAAACCTTGGCCTCAGCCTCCCTGTGCAAAGCAGGTAACTCACCCTCCAGAAACTCACTGCTGCCTTTCAGAAAACTTTGGATTAAATACAGCAATTTCACCTTGCAAACAGAGTAAAGGGGCCTTTCCTTGGACAATTCTTCATCATGGTTCTATAGTCCTGTTACTTAACCTCAGTCCGTTGTCATTCACTGGCTAATAGACTGGGGCAGGGAGCACATGAGAATTAAATAGTGCTTAACACAACCCTGCTTTCCCAGTCTGGGCATTCTGATCCTCCATTCTTTCTCAGGGAGTTTCCTCTGCTGTGACTGTTGGGAGAGTCCAGGCACTCATATGGGTCATTTCTCCATGGAGATCCCTGTTATTTTCTTCCTCTCCTGGAGATAGAGAGGGCAGATAATGGCTCTGGGTCTCCACAGTTGTAGATTTTCTCCTAAGAGAGCCAGGTCAGCTGAAAGCAATCATGACTGAGAGAAGTCAGGTCAGTGAAGACAGTCCCAGAGGAGCACGGGCTCACAAGGACAGCCCCTCATGGAGACGGACAGGACCAGGACACGGGCAATATCTGACCAATTCTGCTGGGGATGACGGAGCAAGGATTAAGCAGAGGATGCTGCCATGAGGAGAAAAAAGAACCAAAGGAGTGGGGGAAAAATAAGATTGATAATAATGGTTTCAGGAAATGCAGAGCAAAGATCCCAGAGGAAAAGTCAGTCCCAGGCTGTGGATCCTACTTAAGAACCTCCTGCTGGATTTTGCCCAGCTCCATTTCCAAATGACTATGGGTTGGTGACTTCCTTCTCCCTTCCACGTTCCTTCTTTTTGAACTAGAATCACTGTAATTGTCAGTCTGTGTCTGTCCCGCCATTCCACATTAGGAGCAGAAAAGCAGTTTGTTCAGTCTCACAGGTCGACAAGGTAAGGAAATTATGTCCAGGATCTGTACTTAATGGACATCCTCAGAAGCCTCATCCACACCTGGTGTGGATGTTTTAGATGAGATTTTAAACTTTGGATCTTATGTGGTCTATGTGACATTTTTCATGTTGAACTAATGCTTTAATGACATGAAATGTGGAAACTTTAAAGGAGAGGGTACATGTATTTTGCAGATGGGGGAATGTGAGAGTCCAACTGTGGTAGATGGAATTTCTGAAATGGTCCCCAAACATGCCATACCCTTGTCTCTGAAGCCTGTTAAGGTAATGAAACACCATTCCTGTGATTACATTGGTATGTGACAGTTACATGACTTGAAGATGGTGAGGTTACCTGCATGAACTGGATCGAATCACATCACTTCATAGTGACAGAGCTTTCCATGGCTGGTTGGAGATGAAGTCAGAGAAGGGAAGGCAGAGCTTGAGAAGGACTCCATGAGTTGTTATTGGTTGAAAGATGGGAAAGAGAGGTAAGGAGCAAAGCAGGTGGCCTCTGAAGTCAGAGTGTCTCCTGGTTGACAGCCAGCACAGAAAAAGAGCCCTCAATCCCCCACCAAGAATAGAAACTCTTTCAATATGTCTAGTGAACTCAGAAAAATAGCCTGAGCTCTAGAGAAAACCCACAGCCAGCCCATTCCCAGATTGCAGCTTCACATGACCCTGATCAGAAAACCCAGCCGCTTCATTCCAGACTTCTGTGGCTTCAAACCACTGGTTTGTGGTCATGTGATCATAGGCAGCAGGAGAAAACTAATACAGGTGCCTGTCTCTACTCTTGAATTCTATTTCAGATACACGGATGCTACCCCTCTAAGCGCAAAAATCAATCAATCAATCGAAGAACTACAATAAAATCTTGCCCTCACCTTTATGTGGCTGTTCCAGGGTGCTTGCCACCTGAAGAAGATAATGTGGGGCATTTCAGGCACATGAGGAGTGTGGCTTTACTGTTATCAACCATATTTCTGAAAGAATAAACAGATGCTTCAGGCCTGGTGCAGTGACTCATGCCTGTAATCCTAGCACTTTAGGAGGCCAAGGCAGGTGGATCACCTGAGGTCACGAGTTAGAGACCAACCTGGCCAATATGGTAAAACCTGGTCTCTACTAAAAATACAAAAATTAGCTGGGTGTGGTGGTGGGCACCTGTAATCCCAGCTAATCAGGAGGCTGAGGCAGGAGAATCACGTGAACCCAGGAGGTGGAGGTTGCAGTGAGCTGAGATCATGCCATTGTACTCCAGCCTGGGCACAAAGCAAAAACTCTGAAAAGAAAAAAAAAGAATAAAGATGGTTTAATACTTAACTGCACATATTACTATGTGAAAATGTATCATCTCTGTTTTAATGGCAGGTTTTTAAAGATTCCTTTCCTTGTGCTCACCAGACAAGGTTTTGTAGCAAGTACCACTCACCAGCACAGATGCACCAATTCAAGGAGAGCCATAAACAGGACTACTGTTCTGTTTCCCCAAAAACACCCCGAGAATGGAGCCTCTCCTCCATTTGTCAGAAAAGGAAGACAACAGTCCACTGTATACAGTCCCACACACAGGAAAATGTAAATACAATAAGTCCGTTATCCAAATATTATTCTGTTCAGATCTGGTCACGGGACTAGGGATTAGGAAATGACTACAAAGAGGCTCAAGGGAATTTGGGGAAGCCAAAAATGTACTGAAACAGAACTCTGCTGATGGCTGCACAATTCTATAAATCAACCTAAATAATTAAGCTGTACACTGACAATGGGTGACTTTTATTACAAGTAACTCTTTAAATGAACTTTTGGGTTTGCACTTTAACATAGAAAAAGCTAGGGAGTCATCACTTATCCTCACAGCTAGAGAAAAGCTGAACAAACTGAAAGTCAGCTCTTCTAGGCTGGACCGGAGAAGTGAGGTCACAGGGAAAACTGCCACCCGAAAACTGACAGAGACAGGCTAACCCACGAAGAGTCACAGCTCACCAGGAAGAGAAGCTACTGGGACCAGCCACTGGGAGGAGCACTTAAATGATATTCACAGATTACCAGCAGCTGAGGGTGGCCTGCCTTGAGCATTAAAAACGCCTTGAAGACCAAGCTAAGGGGGAATCTCACACATTACCAAGTTTGACTACAACAATCTCAGGTTGTCATGACAAAGTTCACAAAAAAAAACCTTAAAGGTACTACCGACTTCAGGACTTACTAGAAACCTGCAGAAACCAAAACAGCGTGAAGTTGGTGAAAAGAGGAAAAACACACAAATAGGACCTATGGAAAAGAACACAGAGCTCAGAAACAGGCCTACATCCAGCCCACAGATCTTTCATAAAGGTTTAAAGACATTTAAAACAGCAAGGATAGCCTTTCCAAATAATGGTGCTAGAACAGCTAGACAACCAAATGCAAAATCAATCAATCAATCAATCAATCTAGGTGTGCATGTTATGCCCTTCATAAAGTGAATCTTACACCTAAATGTAAGGTGCAAAACCATGAGAATCCCAGGAGATCACACAGGAGAAGAGCTCGGGAACTTGGGTTCGAGGATGACTTCTTAGATACAACACTCAAAAGCACAATCCACGAATGAAAGAAATAAAGTTGAGCCTCAGGAAAATGAAAACCTTCTGCCTGTGAAAGACACTGTGAAGATAATGGAAAAAGCAAGTCAAAGACTGGGAGAAAATATTAACAAAATAATCTGATAAAACACTGCTGTCCAAAATACATGAAGAATTCTGAGAACTGAACAACACAAGGTAAACAAATAATAACAATACGTGAAAGATCTGAGCACATCACCAACAAAATACACAGATGGTGCATAGGCATATAGAAAGTGCTCAAAATCATTGGTCATTGGGGAATTGCACATTAAAACAATGAGCTATCACTGTAAATCTATTAGAATGGCTAAAATGCAAACAGGGAAAAACACCGAATGCTGTCAAAGATGAGGAGCAGCCAGAACTCTCCATAGCTAGTGAAAATCAAAATGTACAGTCACTTGGGAAAACTGAAGTTCACTCAAAATCCTGCACATAAGTACTTAGAGCAATTTTATTCATCAGTGTCAAAACTTGAAGAACCAAGATGTCTTTCACCAAGTGAATGAATAAACACACTGTGCTGTAGCCATACAATGAAATCTAATTCAGTGATTTTTTAAAATGAGCCATCAAGCCACAAAGACATGGAGGAAGTTTAAGTCCATCACGTGAGCAAGAAGCCAGTCAGGAAACCTATATACTCTATGATTCCAACTGTAAGACATTCTTGAAAAGTCAAAAAGATAGAAACAGTGAAATGATGAGTGGTTGTCAGGGGTGGAGGAGAGGAGGCATGAAATGGTGAAGCACAGGGAATCTTCAGCAGTGAAACTATTTTGCATGATGCCGTATTGGGGATTCACGACATTATGTAATTGCCAAAACTCAATCTGTGAAAACTCGAAGAATGAACTCCAACGTCAACTATGAACTTTAGTTACTAATGATGTATCAATATTGGTTGGTCAATTGTAACAGATGGACCACACTAATACGACATACTAATCGGAAAATTGTGTGCTGGAAGTCAGGGGACCCTAGGAGAACTCTCTGTACTATCTACTCAATTTATCTATAAACCTAGAACTGCTCTAAAAAATAATGTCTATTAAGTTTTTTGAAATTAGGAGGCAGCAGACCCAAATCAGGTTTTGGTGGCATCTGGTTCTTGTGTGCTTAGTACTTGGCATAGAAGTGCACCAACCTGGAGTCAGAGCAGCTGGAAATTTCGATGCCTGTGCCTTTTGCCTCTATTGCTGGGGTGCCCTCGGAATACAGATAGCAGATCAGTTAGGCGGAAGCAGCCTCAGTGATCTAGACAGTGCAAGCGTCTGGTAAGGACAGGGACAAACCATCCAGGTGGGCAGAACTTAATGAAGACTAGAAACCCCTGAGACTCAGCAGCTGCCCCAGGGGCACCCACAAATCAAAAGAGAAGGAGGCTGGGAGGGGCTGAGGGATACAGGATGACCTCCCTGCCTGAAACACAGAAGCAGCTCCAGAGATTTTGGTAGATAATGTGGGTTTCATTACAGTGTGGTCTATTCAAAAAGTTTAAAAGAAAGAAAGAGTGAGAGAGAGAGAAAGAAAAAGAAAAGAGAAAAATGGAAGGCAGGGAGGGTGGGAGGCAGGAAGGAAGGAAGGAAAAGAAAAGAAACAGGCATGCAAGGAAAGAAAGAAGGAAGGAAGGAGGGGAGAGAGGGAGGGATGAAGGAAGGAAGGAAGAAGGGGAGGAAGGAAGGAGGAGAGGGAGAAAAGAGAGGAGTGGGGAACAAATGAACTTATACAATGATGAGAAGATCCAGGGGGACTTACACCACCAATATTTTCCATTAACAGGAACATGCTAACTAGTTATTAGAGAGACACGCACTACTATAAAATCATATTCTGTTTTCATGATGTACAATTCCTTCTTCCTTTTCTGAAACATATTCTGCCTCTGGCCTACTGTTTCCAGAGACACTGAGTCCTCCCTTTGGACAAATTCTGGCACCCACAGGAATGAGATGGGACAGTGGACCCCAGAACACCAGGCCATGACCCTCCCTGCTGCTCCTTGTCCACTCCAGAAGCTGCCCGGCTGCAGGTGAGGGTCTCAGCCCCTGGGTCTGACATCATCCCTTTGCCTTGCTTACTGGGCTTCTCTCCTTGCACTGGCTCCCACTCCCCCAGGACCTGGCAGGTGACCACCTGAGAAGGACACAAACAGGCCACGCCGCTTTCTTTCTTTCCCTCTTGATGCCTGCAGTGGTGAATTCCATGGGGTAGTGACCTGATAATTACTCATTATGGTGCCCCTAGCCCAGGCAGGGCCTGGCACCTAATAGCCACCCTGTGAATGCTCAGTGAAAGAAGGTGTCCACTACAAGGTCCTGAGGAACCAAGAATTCCACTGTGGCCCATTAGTTTTAAGTCCTACACGATTCTAGGATGGGAGCTGTGAAAGGCCTTCAAAAGTGGCCACTCTCTGAACCATTATACTGGCAGCTGAGCCATGTTTTCCTATCCTGGACACATCTAGAGGGCACCGCCTAAATCCACACACATCTCCCCACCCAGGATGGTGCAGGGGCCTTAACCCGGGAAATGTGGGTGGACGGGAGAACCATGAAAGCCGAAGAGGAGACACCAGGTGAAAGGGAACAGCAAGGTGGAAACAGAGAGAGAAATGGGGATGGAGACTGGGGGTGAGAGGGGAAGAGAGAGGAGAGGAACGCAGATCCAGCCACTGAGGAAAAGGCCTGAAGAGAACACTGTCCTCTCCTGAAGTCAAATAACTTCCACCTGACCACGCACTGCAGGTCGTGGTGGCACACGCTGGTCATGCTGCAATGTTTAGGGTCCATGGCATCTTCCCTTTGCATTTGAGTCATAATAGAGAGAGGACTCTCTGACCTCATGATTTTTACCTGTTGGATCTGGCAGCTCTTCATGTCAGCCCACACCGTGTGAGGCTGCTCTTGGTGCCGCGAATGGGGAAGATTCTACATCAGTGCCTCGGAGAGTCCACTGCAAGTCCTGGACAGCGGGAGTCGGTGGTGCTCCAGCATGGAGGCCGAGAGCACACAGCACTGAAGCTCCAGACACCCTCAGGAGGACAGTAAAGGACAACGTGCCGGTGAGAGCCTGGGTCAGCAGGAACCTTCGCCTGGGTCTGGACATGCTTTGCCTTCATATTGGCTATGACATAATAGACAGAAATCAAGGTTAACATTGAGATTCAGCACTTGGGCAACTTGAAGGATGGAACCGCCACTTATTGAGACTGGGAAGAGGGAGAAAGGAGCAGATTGAAAGGGGGCGGGAACTAGAATGAGTTGGTTTCTGTCATATGTAATCAACCGTCCTAACCAGCCTGGGCAACATAGTAAGACCCTGTCTCTGAAAATAGAAAAATAAATAATTAATTAGCCAAGCATGGTGTCGCATACTTGTAGTCTCAGCTACTCTGGAGGCTGAGGCAGGAGGATTCCTTGAGCCTTGAGTTAGAGGTTACAGTGAGCTATGATGGCACCACCACACTCCACCCTGGGGGGCAGGAAAAAAGAGTCCTGACTGATTACTTGAGTAGCCAGAGAAAGTGCTTACTTTTCACAAAGTACTATTTGAGGCAGATCTCAGTGAACATGAATCAATTCTCTCTGTTAGGAGGAGATGTGGGTATAGTTAGTTAATGCTGATTGAACTATCTTTGGAGTCTCATCTACTGGTGAGATTTTGGGGCTTTTGTTACTGCAGCATAAACTAGCAAAGCTCAGTGAGACAGCAGACAGAATATCCATGTATAAATAGACCAGATAGACCAGTAGATGAGCTCCAAAGATAGTTCAATCAGCATTAACTAGCCACACCCACACTCTCCTCCTAACAGAAAGAATGGATTCCTGTTCACTGAGATCTGCCTCAAAAAAGTACTTTGTGAAAAGTAAGCACTTTCTCTGGCTACTCAAGCAATCAGTCAGGACTCTTTTTTCCTGCCCCCCAGGGTAGAGTGTGGTGGTGCCATCATAGCTCACTGTAACCTCTAACTCAAGGCTCAAGGAATCCCCCTGCCTCAGCCTCCAGAGACTATAAGTGTGCACCACCATGCTCAGCTGATTTTTCATTTTCAGAGATAGGGTCTTACTGTGTTGCCCAGGCTGGTCAGGACGGTTGACTGCATATGACAGAAACCAACCAACTCTAGATCTACACATAAAAGGGTTTACTTTCATTGACATTTTCTTTTATGGCAGGTTGACTGCGGCTCTGCTCTATACAAGCTATTTTATTTGTTAGATGGTGAAAGCTGTGATACGCGGAGAATTGAATGTGGTATCAGTATGTTCATTCATTCATTTAACAAATATTTAATCAATATCTGTTTCATACCAGACGAGGTCAAGTATTGAGAATACAGTAAGGAATCAGAGACAAGTTCTCTAATGTCCAAGAGCTTATATTGAAAATGACATTAAAAACATACAAAATAATCATAACAATAATGAATACTATATTCGTAAATAATAGATTTTAGTAAATATTTGTAATTAGAAAAATTTTTTAATTATTAATACTAATATGGCCAGGTGTGATGGCTCATGTCAGTAATCCCAATGTTTTGGGATGCCAAGATGGGAGGATTATTTGAGCCCAGGATTTTGAAACCAGTCTGGGAACCACAGGAAGACCCTGTGTACAAAAAATTAAAAATTAGCCAGACATGGTGGTGCATGCCTGTAGCTCCAGCTACTAAGAAGGCTGAGGTGGGAGGCTGCTTGAGCCTGAGAGGTCAAAGCTGCAGTGAGCCGTGATCAGACCACTGCACCACTGCACTCCAGCCTGGGCGACAGAGCCAGACCCTGTCTCAAGAAAAACAAACAAACAAACAATTTAACAGATGTAGTCCCGAAACTATTGTGTAGAATACTATTGTCTACATCACATCACATCACATCACGTCAGCCCTTTACTTTACATGGCTTAACACGTTAAGTTAAGCCACATAAAGTTAGGTATGATCCATAAAGGTTTCCTAGTAATTAAGTATACCTAAGAACAATTAAGTAGAAAAGAGTTACTGCCTTCACAGAAAGATTGGAAACATTTTAAAAAGGCAAATAAATATGAGTCAAAACTGCAGCTCTGTGAGGCCCAAATAACGTCCAATTCAAGTCACAATGATCATCTAGCCATCATTCTGAACACCATAAAATTCATTTAATACATTTTGCCTGAACGCCCCACAGATCTGACTTACCAACACTTGTATGTAGCCAAGAAATTGACAATCATTTATAAATTACCATCTATGACTCCATCTGCTCTACCCACTTTAAAAATAAAATTATGTATTTATTATTTATTATATGTTGTAGAGACAGGATCTCACTATGTTGCCCAGGTTGGTCCAGAAACAGACCCAAATTAATTTCATAAATCAAATGACCATAGGCATTCAATTTATAAAAAGAAGTGCACACAGTACAGAAGGACAAGGATGGTCTTTTCAATACATGGTCCTGGATCAAGCAGTCACATCCATGCAGTAAAAAGTGAACATGGCTGGGGGGTGTGGCTCACACCTGTAATCCCAGCACTCTGGGAGGCTGAAGCAGGTAGACTACTTGAGCCGAAGAGTTTGAGACCAACCTGGGAAAATGCTGAATCCCCATCTCTACACAAAATACAGAAGTTAGCCAGGAATGGTGGCACACACTTATAGTCGCAGCTATTCAAAAGGCTGAGAGGTGGGAGGATTGCTTGAGCCAGGAGGCGAAGGTTGCGGTCAGCTGAGATTATGCCGCTGCACTCCAGCCTGGGCAATAGAGTGAGACCTTATCTAGAAAAAAGATAATGCATGAACTAAAATAAAATTGCTATAAGGTTAACACAGAAAAATACTTTCATTTTCTTAGGTTAGGCACTGATTTCTTAAAGGACACAAAAAGCAGTAACCACATAGGAAAAGATTGATAAAGTATAATTTCTCTAAAATTCAGAAACATGCCAGGTGGTGGCTCATGCCCGTAATCCCAACGCTTTGGGAGGCTGAGGCAGGTGTATCACTTGATCTCAGGAATTCCAGACCAGCCTGTGCAACGTGGCAAAACCCCATCTCTACTAAAAATATGAAAAAGAGCTGAGCATAATGATGCTCCCCTGTAGGTCCCAGCTACTTGGGGGCTCAGGCAGGAGGATCACCTGAGCCTTGGGAGGTGGAGGTTGCACTGAGCTGTGATTGTGCCACTGCACTCCAGCCTGGACAACAAAGTGAGATCCTGTCTCAAAAAGAAAAAAAAATTAGAGAATCTCCGTTAATGTAAAAACAACATTAAAAGAATGAAAAGGCAAGCTACAGTTTGAAAAAAGAGAAATGCAATACATATATATCCTAGAAAGGACACATATCCAGAATAAAGTGTTACAAATCAACAGAAAAACAAGCATATCAATGAAAACAGGATACAAAGATTGAACAGGCACTTCACAAAAGAGGACATATAACTGACAATAAAAAATACTCAATCTCAATACGAGGAAAATGGAAAATGAACCACACTGATATATTACTGCACCTCTACTAGAATGGCAAAATAATTTTTAACTGACGAGCATAAGCAAAGATGTGGGATAACCAGAATATTCCCTGCTAAATGGTACAACCACTTGGGGAAAATGTTCAACAATATCTAATACTAAAGTTTCATCATTCATATATCTCTAAAATCAAAAATGCCACTCCTACATATATACCCCAGACCTCAGTCTAGTAATGTTCCATTTCTTGGTCGGTGGTAGTTCACTTAGTAAAATTCATTACCTGTACTTTTTTTTTTTCTTTTCCGAGACAGGCTCTTACTCTGCCATCCAGGCTGGAGCGCACTGGCATGATCACGGATCACTGCAATCTCAACCTCCCAGGCTCTGGTGATCCTCCCACCTCAGCCTCCCCAGTAGCTATGACTACAGGCACACACCACCACACACAGCTAATTTTTGTATTTTTAGTAGAGATGGGGTTTTGCCAAGTTGCCCAGGCTGGTCTGGAACTCCTGGGCTCAAGTGATCTGCCCACTTTGGCCTCCCAAAGTGCTGGGATTACAGGTGTGATCTGCTGCACTCGCACCACCTGCACATTTAAAATTGTCTCTCAGGTCCCAAGAGGGAACGGATTTCCGGCCTTAAGGTGCGGCGCAGGGTCAATGTTCTCCAGAGGATTTAGGAGGATGTGCCCCCGAGGCTTCTTCGTCCCTCCACCCCCTGGGATACCACAGTAGGACCCGCCGCCAGTTCTTCCCCAGCGCCCGAGAGGAGGGCGGCGGGCTGCAGCGGCAGGCGAGGAATGGAGCCTGGAAACAGGCCCTGGCGGGTCCGGCGCACCCGCCAGCTCGCGCAGCGAAACTTGGGGCAGCCCGAGAGCCGCGCCGCGCCCCAGCTGTTCGCCGGCGGTCCGGGACTCACCGCCCGCCCGGCCTGACTCCGCGCACTCACCTCGGAAACGCTGGGCGGACTTCGCAGGAAACCTTAACTTCCAGCGAAACGGCAGCCGCGCCCCGCATCTGGGTCCGGCTCTCGGCCCCGCTGGTCCACCGTCCGGCGTTTCCAAAAGCATCGGGCTCATTCAAGTTTGGGCCACCTCGGGACCCTTACTTCCCCGTCCCGGCACCGCCGCTGTCTCGACCGCCACCCAGCCCACTCCCAGCCAGCCGGCTACTCCGGGTCGCCCCGCCGACAGCCCCAGGCGCAGGCGCTGCGGAGCCTTAAAGGGACCCGCCCCCTCAACCGCAAAACCCGGTTACGGGCTGCGAGGGGGGTGGACGGAGTGCAGCGGGACCGGGAAATCCCTGTCTCCCCTCCGCCTCACTTTCAAAGCACCCGCCCTGGATCCTGCAACTCGCTGATTTCCCCCCACCACTTGAACCGCCCCTGCCAGGCTTAAGAGGCGGGAGACACAACCTCTGGGGGGCTGAGCGATCCCGGTCCCGCTATTAGGGCCTCACGCTGCCGCACCGCCCTGAGTCTGACTTCCAGGCCCGGGCACGCGGTGTCAATTTGGTATATAACAGGTGTTTCTTCCATATTTTGAGGGCAATATTATTTTAAAAATAAAAGAACTAATTAGACGAAAGCAAATTAGACCAGGGAGTAACATGTGAAAACGTTCTCTTTTCAGGAAGTGTCCAAAACAATTCTCCAGAACATGTGATGAGGTAAAAGTTGCCACAATAATACCAATATCCAGGTAATAACAGGCAAAGAAAATCAATATTTGAGCTATGTATATGGACATAGGTATAGATACAGAAGTAGACTATATAGATATAGATATGTAATCGACCTCGTTCTATTATTACAGTATCATATATCTCAAGGTGCGTGACCTTCCCTCAGTTACACTGCCTCACTTCTCTAGGGTTTCTCTATGGTTCTAATCTTCATTGGAATCCAAAAATGATGTTTCCACACCATCCCCCACTCCAGAAATAATGACCCCTGACCACTAATAAAGTCTCATCCAGGGCTCTGCACTGTGTTCAGGATCAAGGTCAGTGCCCACTGACTGACATTCTAGGCGCTGTGCCTAAGACCCTGTACAATTCCTCTAATTATGTCTGCTAAGCAGGACCGTCCATTAGCTGTACTTTGAAGATGTCTCCTCCTACTTTCCCTCTGTGTTTTATTTCTGTATATATATGTTTTTCTTTCTGAGACACTGCGGTTCAAATCTCACTTGCTCAATTCTCCCTTTTTTTGACATACTTCATGAATCAAGTTTTAATGAAACTTTTGACAGCACAATTTGTGACTTATATTGTGTAGTCCCCATCAGCTACTAGTACAAAGTCATGGCCACATGGATGGTTAAGACTTTTTAAATCCTGACAGCAGCATTGGTGGAAGTTCATAGGAGGTATGAATGGTAAACCTTAGAAAAGAAGTTGGAGGCCGGCACAGTGGCTCACGCCTGTAATCCCAGCACTTTGGGAGGCCAAGGTGGGTGGATCACGAGGTCAAGAGATTGAGACCATCCTGGTCAGCAAGGTGAAACCCCATCTCTACTAAAAATACAAAAATTAGCTGGGCATGGTGGTGCGTGCCTGTAGTCCCAGCTACTCAGGAGGCTGAGGCAGGAGAATTGCTTGAACCCAGAAAGCGGAGGTTGCGGTGAGCTGAGATCGCGCCATTGCACTCCAGCCTGGGTAACAAGAGTAAAACTCCATCTCAAAAAAAAAAAAAAAAGAAGTTGGAAACACTTTCTGTTAAGTCTTAAATGTAATACTTAAGAAGCACATGCATTTTTTTCTATGTGGAGTTGCTGTTTTTGCAGAAGCAAGTTAAGAAATATAGGGAGTGTGTTCTGGAACAAAGTGTAGATAATTTAGTGAAGATAGAAAAGGAAGAAAGCAACAAGATTTGATGGAAGGTCAATAGAAAAACACTTTTTATATGTAAATGTGCCTAGAACTAAACTTATTGCAGAAGTAGACAGTGGGAAAACTGTATTTTCAAAACATATTCATGGGTTTTGTTCTCTTTTTCATGTATACCCATGCATATGTGTGCATGTTTCTGTGTGCACCAGAAAATGTGCAAAAGTATGTGTACTTGCATGTGATGTGCATACGTGTGCACACACAAATATGTGAGGGAGGAAGGATGTTGGGTGCGGCTAGGATCAGTCTCTCCATCCTTCTCTCCCTCTAGGGCTATACTCACAGAGGGAGAGAAGCGTGGCGAGACTGGTTAGGCCCTTGAAGGGGACCAGAGACAAAGAAGCTGTGATTCTAAGAGACAGTTCAGATTTGGTCAGAAGCAATGCTGCTTCGGGCTAGTTGACATAGGACAGACGGTGTTGGGAGCAGTGATCCCTTCCCACTTCTGCCCCCATTAACCCCAGTTCACTCCAGAGCGCCCCACTGTCCCCTAGGTTCCAAGGCCACCACCAGCAGAGGACAGAATGAAGAGAAGAACAGCCACTCAAGGGGAATAGGGTTCTCATAGAACAAGACACTGAGCAGATTCCTTGTTTTATTGTTTTAATCAGCAGATGCACACTGCAAGAAGACATGACATGGAGTGGGCTAGAAGCTTACACAGAGGGTGGGAGGGTGGCCACAAATGTGAGGTCCAAGGCCAGTGGATGGAGATCCAGAAGAGGATCCGAGTTTCTGGACTTCAGGGAGAAGATACGCTCTTGGTAAGTTCAGAGCATTCCCTGGGACCTGTGAGCCTCTCAGGTAGGCCTAGGAGGAGAAGGGGGATGTCCTAGAACAGGATTCCACTCTTCTAGGCTCAGGGTCCACTTCAGCAGCAGCCTCCAGAGTGCTGGCCGCTGCCCCCTCCACAGCAGCTGGAGCCCCCTCCACAGCAGCTGGAGCCCCCTGAGGGCTGGCTGCAGCAGTCAGAGCTCTGAGGTCTGTGACAGTGGGACCTGCGGTACCTGTGGTGGCCCAGGCAGCAGCCACCTCCCCCAGAACTGCAGCAGCCCCCAGAGCTGGAGCCACAGCAGCCCCCAGAGCTGACACTGCAGCAGGAAGACACTGGAGGGCACTTAGGGGGACACTTTGAGGGGCATTTAGGGGCAGGGCACTTGGGAGGACACTTGGGGATGCACTTGGGAGGGGGCTGGCACTGCTGCTGGCTCTGCTGGCAGGATATCTCAGCAGTGGGTGCTCAGGAGCTGAAGGAGAGTCAAATAACAAGTCAGACCCAAGCAGAGGCCACCGCTGTTTATTCTTGTCCTTTCCAACATTGCTTCTGTTTCCTTAGCTTGATAAACTGTTAACTGTAGTGGTAGATCATTAATCACTAAAAATTGTGTTATTTCTTTATTTCTTGTGGTTTGGCAGGTGTTCTCACACCATCTTTTGAGTCCCACGGTTTCATCTTAAGTCAAGAATTACTGTATCTTTTACGAAGAAGGAAACTGAGGCAATACGCCATGTGAAAAGCCATGTCAAGATTAAACATTTAGTAAGTTAAAGAGAGCAACTTTCCTCATTGTGTCAAACAAAGCCCTGAAGCTGTTCAGTATGGAAACCTGGTGATATAAATATTTCCTTGAAAAAAGGTCATGCCTTCCTAGATGACTTAATCTTGCAAAAACCTGCGCATGTAGAATTGCAAACGGCTTTGGAGACAGGCTGGTCTCACAGGCTCCCTTTGTTAAGGAAGATGCTGAAGAACAGTATTTTTGGTGCATAGAGGGGATTTGAACTCAGGAACCCTGGCTCTAGGCTGGTGCGCTGCCATATTCAGCACACAAAGGCCTCACAGTAACATCTCGCTCGGCACAGTGATCCTCAACTTGCTATGTCTAACTACTTAAAGAGATTCTCAATTCAAATTTGAATCTAGAGATAAGTGGGTTTCCAAAAGCCCTAAAAGATGCTGTAATTATCTCTACTCCACTGATTGAGAACTGCTATCTCTAGCTGAAACTTAAAAGGATTGTCACAGTTTTGCTCTGAAAAGTAAGTGTCCTGCAAACCAGCAGTTTCACTCCTAGGAATCCGTGCCATAGAAATAAAAGCATCAGCCCTTAAGGATTTGTTATAAAGATGTTTACTCAGCAATATACTTGTAGTGGAAAAAAACGTTGGTATAGGAAAGGCCCATTACTAGGGAAATAGGAAATGATCAGATCAATTGTGGTGCTTCCATACTTTGGAATAATATATAGCCATTAAAAAGAACGATTTACATCTATCTCTACCAGTTGACTTGAAGAAATGTTCATGATAAACAAAGAAGAAATAAAATGCAGAAAGTATGCATCATAATTCCATTTTTATAATGCAATTACATTATATAAAAATATCTCTTAGGCTGGGCGAGGTGGCTCATATATGTAATCCCAGCACTTTGAGAGGCCGAGGTGGGTAGACCACCTGAGGTCAGGAGTTCAAGACCAGCCTGGCCAACATGGCGACACCCTGTCTCTAAAACAACATAAAAATTAGCCTGGTGTGGTGTCAGGTACCTTAATCCCAGCTACTGGGGTGGGGGGGGATGAGACAGGAGAATCATTTGAACCCAGGAGGCAGAGGCTCCTGTGAGCTGAGATTGCACCACTGCACTCCAGCCTGGGTGACAGAGAGAGACCTTGTCTCAAAAGAAAAAAAATCTGTTATATGTGAAACTAATTTTATGTATAATGACATGATCATGAAGAAAGCTATGAAAGAATGCATTATAATCTATTAAAGTTGGTTTTTTGAGTGTAGGGAAATATAAGAGTCCATTTCAGTGAATTTCTCAATGCTCCAGTAAAAGCCCTACCTGACCTCCCAAGATTCTTCACATACCTTGAGAATTAAGATATATAATCATTTGTGTAGTTAATTGCATGATCCAAAGGAATGATATGATTTCTGTTATCTCCAGAAGGGAGATCAAATGCTCATCACCTGTAAGTCCCTAGGTTGAGCCAGTGCTCAGAGTACTATCTCCCTAGGGATTTACATTTCAAAGGGGCCCTGTGTGGTGGCTCAGGCCTATAATCCCAGCATTTTGGAAGGTTGAGAGGGCGGATCGCCTGACGCAAGGAGTTCGAGAGCAGCCTGCCCAACATGGTAAAACTCCGTCTCTATCAAAAATACAAAAATTAGCCAGGCATGGTGGCAGGTGCCTGTAATCTCAGCTACTCAGGAGGCTGAGGCAGGAGAATCACTTGAATCCAGGAGGCAGAGGTTGCAGTGAGCTGAGATCGTGCCACTGCTCTCCAGCCTAGGCAACAGAGCAAGACTCTGTCTCAAAGAGAAAATAGAAACGATGCCTCTAAAAAGTAACACTGCCTTCAAAAGGAAGGAAACCCTGTCACATGCTACGATATAGATGAGCCTTGAGGAGAAAAAACAAATACTGTATGATTCCACTTATATGAGGTATCTAACGCAGCCACATTCATAGAGACAGAAAGTGCAATGGTGGTGGCCAGGGGCTGGAGAGAGGGGGATATCGGTGCTATTGTTTCATGAGTGCAGAGTTTCAGTTCCTCACGATGAAGAGTTCTGGAGACCCTGGATCACAACACTGTGAATGTGCTCAACACCACGGAACTGTACACTTAGAGATGGGTAAGATGGTACGTTTCATGGGATGCATCTTTTACTGCAATAAAAAATAAAAATACAAAAACAAATTTTTTAAAGACCACCAAAAAATCACCATGTAGTATATGATCCTATATGTGGAATATCACATATCTAAAAAGAGAGGCATAAAAGGATATAATCAACCAATGGTTATTTCATGGAGATAGGACTTCAGGTGATTTATTTTTATTTACATTGCACATGTTTTTCAAATTCTTTACCATCACTATGTTTATTGATATAATCAGAGAGGGAAAGTATTTTCATAGAGAAAAATAAATAGACGAATATAAGCATCAGGCCTGGCACAGTGGCTCACACCTGTAACCCCGGCACTTTGGGAGGCAGAGGCAGGCAGATTGTTTGAGGCTAGGAGTTTGAGACCAGCCTAGGTAACACAGTGAAACTTAGTCTCTACAAAAATATTTTAAAATTAACCGAGTGAGGCTGGACATGGTGGTTCACACTTGTAATCCCAGCACTTTGGGAGGCCGAGGCAGGCAGATCACCTGAGCTCAGGAGTTTGAGACCAGCCTGACCAACATGGAGAAACCTCGTCTCTACAAAAATACAAAATAAGCCAGGTGGGGTGATGCATGTCTGTAATCCCAGTTACTTGGGAGGCTGAGGCAGGAGAATCTCTTGAACCCTGGAGATGGAGGTTGTGGTGAGCCAAGATTGCACCATTGCACTCCAGCCAGATGGAGATGGAAACTCCATCTCAAAAAAAAAAATAACTGGGTGTGGCAGCATGCACATGTAGTCCCAGCTACCCAGGAAGCTGAGGGAAGAGGATCGTTTGACCCAGGAGTTTGAAGCTGCAGTGACCCATGAGAGCATCACTGGGCAACAGAGCAAGACCCCGTCTCAAAGAAAAAAAAAAAAAGCATCAGTAGACAAGTTGGAAGGAAGTCACTGGCCTACAGGATAATGTCCAAAGCCATTTACCTCCTCCTTCACCCTGAGCTGCATGTCCAGCCAGAAAACGTACATACACCTCCCCTTCTCCCTGCCAGGCTGGACTGTTCTCCCCATCATCCCGAAATCCACAGCTAGACGCGCGTGCTCTCCTGGTCAACATCCAGCCAGCCTCTGAGTGGCTGTGATTCTCACTGAATTAAGATACCAAATATTTTTCCCTTTGGGATTCTAGCACTGATGCTAGATGGAGGAAGGAGAAGCCATATTATTACTGATTTTTTTAAAAGCATCAAAACTTTGTTTTATCCTTTTAATAAATTTTTGGAGCTGTCTCACCCTTATGAGCAGCCCTCCCTGAACTCTCTCAGGGTGCAAAAAAAAAAAAAAAAAAGGTTAAAATGAAATTTAAAAAAATTTTTTGGATGTATGAACCCCCAAAATTTGAGACAGGTCTCAGTCAATTTAGAAAGTTTATTTTGCCAAGGCTGAGGACACAGCCTCAGGCGGTCCTGACGACGTTCGCCCAAGTGGTCAGAGCACAGCTTGGTTTCATACATTTTAGGGAGCCTCGAGACAGCTATCAGCATATTTTAAATGAACATTGGTAGGCCGGGCGCGGTGGCTCAAGCCTGTAATCCCAGCACTTTGGGAGGCCGAGACGGGTGGATCACGAGGTCTAGAGATTGAGAACATCCTGGTCAACATGGTGAAACCCCGTCTCTACTAAAAATACAAGAAATTAGCTGGGCATGGTGGCGTGTGCCTGTAATCCCAGCTACTCGGGAGGCTGAGGCAGGAGAATTGCCTGAACCCAGGAGGCGGAGGTTGCGGTGAGCCGAGATCGCGCCATTGCACTCCAGCCTGGATAACAAGAGCGAAACTCCGTCTCAAAAAAAATAAATAAATAAATAAATAAAATAAAATGAACATTGATTCGGTCCGAAAATGTGGGACAACTTGAAACGAGAAGGGGTCTTCTCTCCAGGTCACAAGGTAGGTGAGAGACAAATGCTTGCATTCTTTTGAGTTTCTGATTAGCCTTTCCCAAGGAGGCAATCAGATACGCATTTATCTCTGTGAACAGAGGGATGACTTTGAGTAGAATGGGAGGCGGGCTTGCCCTAAGCAGTTCCCAGCTTGAATTTGCCTTTTAGCTTAGCGATGGGGGTGGGGGGCAAGATATTTTCCTTTCACAGAAGAAACCATACATACACTAGGTAAAAGTGACTGTCCAAGCCAAAAGAGTCTAGGAGGAGGTCCCAGAGCGCTGGCCGCAACGCATCCCCTTCACTCTCTTAACTAAGTAACATCCCTGGGCCTGTTAATCTATATGCTGCCTTTGTACAAATGAGAAAAAGGTGTCTCATCCTCTAGGCAGAGGTGGCCAGGCACCCAAGGTGGCGGCTTAGAAAGCTCAGCACAGGCTGAATTTCAGCCCCCACTGACTCCCCTAGCAGGCGCTTTTTGGGCAGGACACAGATTGAAGGGCTGTTCTCTGCAGCTCTGCCTAGGGTAACTCCAGGGAACACAGCCTCCACACTATGGAATAGACCGCCTCTAACATCTCACTCCGCCCAGCTCTGGTGTATCTGACTTCAATTCTACAGCCTCACTCCTGTACGAAGAGTTGGGCTGTGTGTTTCTGTGAGATGCCTTTTTGCAGCTATTAAATCCATTACCAAGTATCTTCTTTATATTTTTTTTAATTTTTTATTTTTTTAAAGACGGGGTTTCACCATGTTGGTCAGGCTGGTCTCGAACTCCTGACCTGGTGATCCACCCGCCTCGGCTTCCCAAAGTGCTGGAGTTACAGGCACGAGCCACCATGCTGGCCCCAAGTATCTTAAGTAAACAGAAATGAATCCTTCTGAATCGCTGTGGGCAGGGAGTTCCCTCAGGGCAGAGCGTGGATCTCATCCATGACAGCAGAGACTGGCACACAGCAGGCACTCTCTGAGTCCACATTTATGGAATAAAACAATAAATAATGACAGGATAGGTATCTCGGCCAACCAGAAACATCTCAAAATGCTACATAAAATATGAAAACCTTTTTAAAGTGCGTCAGCGAAACAATCTGGTAAGAAATATTCAGAGGCCAAATCTAAATAAAAACAGAAATCTAGAAAAATTAGAATAACTTTGAAGCTGGGTTTTGCCTTGAGGGCATTTGCCAATCTTGGTAAATTGGACTCTTATTGTCATAGCCTCCCAGGGTGATAAAACAAAAGACAAAACCCAAGATCTCTAGGCAGGAAGTTTACTGATATCCCTTCACCCCTGCATAAAGTCCAGACTTTAAAAGCCACACCTAGGCCAGGCTGGTGGCTTAAATCTGTAATCCCAGCAGTATGGAAGGCCAAGGCAGGTGGATCACCTGAAGTCTGGAGTTCAAGATCAGCCTGGCCAACATGGTGAACCCCATCTCCAGTAAAAATACAAAAACTAGCCAAGCATGGTGGTGGGCGCCTGTAGTCCCAGCTACTGGGGAGGCTGAGGCAGGAGAATTGCTTGAACCCGGGAGGTGGAGGTTCACATCATTGCACTCCATCTTGGGTGACAGAGTGAAACTCAGTCTCAAAACTATCATATAACATGTCCAGAGCATTATTAGAGAACCCAGTCACTACGTATTACGACAAACATTTCAGAAGACAGAACAATTCTAAATTTTTTTGTATCTATTAGTGTAGCCTCAAAATATATAAAGCAAATATTGACAGAATTACTAAAATTAATTTATAAAATCACAGTCTTAGTGGGATATTTCAACGTGCTTCTTTCAGTAATTGAGAGATCAAGCGACCAAAAAACCTCAATAAGACAAAAAGAACGTGTAACTACAGAATACGCTTTCTTTTTTAATATTCTGAAGCACCCACACAACCTTTATGGAAATTGACCACACGCTAGAGCAAAACAGAGAAGTCCAAACATAGCTCGTAAAACTATACAACAAATCCCCTGCTATCGAAACACAATGTAATTAAAATCAATAACAAAAGGATAACTAGCAAAAAAGGTAAATGTGTGAAAGGTTAAAAATATTCCTCTAGGAAATACTCAGGGGA